ATCCCATCCCATCCCATCCCATCATCCCATCTCATCCCATCCCATCCCACAGCCTGGCTGCCCTCCAGGAAGGTAGGAAGAGGGGGACATCCCTGCTCTCGTCTGTCCCAAACTTCTTCCCGAGCAGTTTGGCACCCTGACCTCTGCCATCCTCGAAGCCTCCTGCCCCTGGCCCCAGGGTGGAGGCAGACACCCGACCTACCTTCTCGTGGGGAGAAAGAGTTGGTCCTTTGCCATGGGGACGTGTGGTTTCCGGACACGGCCCTGACCCGGGCGTAGTAGCGGAGGGCAGGATTCAGGGTGTAGTACGTGAGGTCGCAGGAGTACCCCGAGATCTTCCTGCAGTGTGGGATGGCTGTCCAGGAGAAATTCATGCCGTAGCTGCAGGGAGAAGTGCCTGGGGTGAGAACAGCACAGGCAGGTGCCAGGGACCCGGTTGTCACCTCTTTTGGTACAGATCCTGGGCAGGGGCCAAACCCCCTTGCGCTGTACTCACATTTTGTACTCCACTTCGTAGCGGACATCACCGGTGTGGCTGTGTTGCTGTTCCCACTGCACCAGGTGATGCGCTATCTCCGCAGCAAAGCGCACTCTTGTGGGTCCTGCCAGCCTGTCACCTGTGGGACCGCATGCGAGCATTAGGCGAGGCTGGATGGTGTCCTGCCCCACCATCCCGCTGGAGCCCGCAGGAGCTGGGCAGAGCTCTTTGCGATTGCCTCCTCGATGGCTCGCCTGGAGCTTGACCCCTGTGTTCAGCAGTGACCACCCGCCCATCTGAAAAGCGCAAGGATTTGCCCGGGCCTGTCCTACTTCCAAGTTTCAGCGTTTCCTCATCCCCCTCTTTCCTCTCTCTTCTGGGGAGAGCCCAGCTCAGCCCAGCTGGGAGGATCTCGGTGCTTTTCTGGCCCAAGAAAGGAGCCTGCTGTATTTGCATCCATCCCTGACCGACCCTGCCGTTTTCGCTAGCAGCTCTGTTTGGATTCAGCTTTCCTGTTTTGCTTGTGTGCTGTCTGCACGAAACAGACTTTTTCACACCTCCTGCCTGAATTTCAGTATTGTCACCTGGCAGCAGAGCATCGATAGATAACATCTGTCACCCTTTCTGTGCTGGTTTCCTCAGCAGCCACTGTATGCAGGCAAACGCTAAGCCGCACCGCTGCCTGGGGAGGACGGCCGTCGGCAGAGCACCACGCTAGCGACCGCGGCGTTTCACCGTGATACAAGGCACTGTGGTCCTCACGGGTGGAGACAAACAAGGCTGATGCCTGAGGACCAACACCCCCTTTAGGCTCCCAAACAGTGAAGAAA